TGGATTACACAACACTGTTTCCAAAAATGGGACAAAATCCTTAACCAAGTTAATTGGCAAGCTACTTGGCTATACATTAACAATAACCAAAAGATCTCAAACTTCTCATACAGCTTTCAGTTCTCTATTCTTAAATCCTTTAGAATCAAAATTCTATTAGATGATCTTTTTACTCTACATATCTTATATAAACAATATTACTCATACTCTCCTATCTGTTACCAATGTCATCAAATTAGTTCTCACTTTCACTAGACAACCTGTCTATCTAATCAATTGCTATACAGCTTTATAGACATTTCACTACAATATACTATAAATACTAAAACACTTGATATTATTTCAAATACTATAACCAATTTATATAACCAAATCAAGCTGTTAAGTAGTATAACTATTCACAGTATACCAGATTTACCTTCAATCTTTTTAACTTTAACAGATCTCATACCAAATGAACTCATTGATATTATTGCAAACCTGTCATTCAAAAAAGTAGTCATAATACTTGTTATCAAGTTTTTACTTCATCTTAATCAATAAATTTATTATAAAATCTGGATTCCATATTGTATCTCAAGATCTACAACTCAAATCTCTGAATATAACACATCTTCAAACACTATCTCACTTTCATTACATTCTTTTCTACTCAATTCTATTAGATTAAAAATAAACTCTTGGTATATCTAATAGATTAAATATCAAACTAATCATCTATATATAATTACTAATATTCAAATCTAGGTGAGTCTTGGCTATTTCAGTTGGTTTAGGTTACAGATAAATTAGTTTGAGCTTTTATTCTTTCTATAATATTTTAAAAACAGAATTGTATTTATGTAAAATTTCAATTAAATATTTAATAAAGAAAGAGACATGGCCTCATCATTAATATTAAAAAAAAAAAAAATTAGCAAATATAATATATAAAAAACCAAACTAAATAAAATAATTTTAACTATTTATCTTGTTTTTAAGTTTTTAATAATTTTTTAATTAGTTTTTTTTTTTTTGACCTTTAGGGTTAATAGCATAGTGGTTATGCTCTGAGATCACAAATCACAAGGTTGCCAGTTCAAATCCTAGTAATAGCAGTTGTAGAGATACATTTCTAAAATAGAGAACTGCAACCCCATGACATCAAGGACCCAAAATGTCATCAGACAGACTTATTTCTAGAAAAGGCAAGTGAACTGTGATTGAGAAACCACCTGATGATAAACATGAATTAAAATCTGATTTAGAATAACTGAAGTTATAAGACATAATGTAAGACTAAAAGTCTGACAATAAGAGATATTATATGAACTCATGATGATAGCTAGTTCTTGATAGAACTTGGCAAAGACTTCTAATACAAGCAGGAATCAGTATGATGATCACTTTTGGAAAGTTTAAAAATATAGACTGAAGAAGGTTGAGGTTCAGATTCAAGAGTATATTGAGAACATTAGTTTGAAAAATGTGAGAACCACTAAAAGATCTTGATAAGAATAGTTAAAGGATTAAAAAAAAAAATAGAATTTTTTTTATTATTTTTAGAAATTTTTTTAGTTTAAATATTAAACATTAAAAAATCTACTTAAAAAAAGGTTTAACTTTAATATAAACTATTAAAAAAATTGTTTATATTTCAAGTTTTTTATTTTTATTTTTTTTTAAAATAATTTCTTTGGTCTTTAATTTTTATTAATGTTTTTTTGATAATATGATTTTATGAATTATTATAGAAAGAGTATATAATTGACTACACATATAACTTTTATATTATTTATTTAAGAAGTTTGTCTAAAAATTTTTTACTAATTGCTATATTTAATATTTCTATTTAAATGTTTTATTTTAAATCTTCTAAATTTAAATCTGTATTAATATTACTAGATCATATTTAGATTATTATTATTATTTTTTTTAATTCTTAACTAGTCTTGCCAAGATCTTTTAATAGTCTTCACATTTTTCAAACTAATGTTCTCAATATACTCCTGGATCTGAACCTTGACCTTCTCTAATCCATATTTTTAAATTTTTTAGAAGCAACCATTACACTGATTCCTGCTAGTATTAGAAATCTTCACCAAACTCTATCAAGAACCAGCTATCATTATTATGACTTTATGTAATATCTCTTATTGTCAAACTTTTGACCTCACATTATGTCTCATGACTTTGATTATTCCAAATCAGGTTCTAACTCATATTTATTACCAAGTGACATCTCAAACACAAGTCACTTGTCTTTTTTAGAAATAAGTTCATCTGATAACATCCTAGATCCTTGATGCCATAGTGTTACAGTTCCTTATTTTAGAAATATATCTCTACAATTGCCACTACTAGGATTTGAATTGGTAATCTTGTGATTTGTGACCTCAGAACATAACCAATATGCTATTAACTCTAAAGATCTTTAGATTATCATTTCATTTTTAAGACTATTTTATTCTTAAGATAAACTTTCTAAAACCTTTTATACTTATATTTATAACTAATCTAAATATTATTATAATAAAATCACTACTTATAGTTAGGACTAATTATTAAACTGCTATGTAATAATTATTCAAATTTTCACCATTAGTAAGTTTTAAACTCACAACCTACCACTTAAAAGATTGACAACTTATCCATTTTACTAAATCACTACATCTCTAATATACCTATTTATTATACTATATATACTATTTTTTTTATAAAACATTATATAATATCAAAATTTTGAATAGAAAAGTAACACATTACCAATTGACTATGTTCCATATCCTAGAGTCAACTCTCTTGCATAATTATGCATATGTATGCATATATATGCACATACATGCATAACTATGCGAAAAGTACATAAAGGGTTATAAAATATGTAATATATATATATTATATTATTAATTACTTTAAAACTTGTAATTGTCAAAAAATTGACTCAGTCAATTGACATTTCCCTGAAAGGGGTTGATTTACGTAATAAGTGCCCCTTCCCTTACCCAGTTATACCTTTTATAAACTCGCACGCGAATATAAAAATACATGCATAAATTTTTAGATAAAGAAGTTAATCATTACGATTTGTATTTTTTTTTCTTTCTTAATAAAGAGTTTAACTATAAAACTACATTATAAAATTTTAAAATCAATCTTGACAATAATGCACGATATTTAGCTGATCAACAATACAATAATCAGAGCCTTCATTACATCAAAATCGACAAAATAATAATATTAAGAAAGATCGAATCCAACGTCAGCATTAATGGCATATGATAATTTTCTAAAAAGTATGTAATTAAATTTGAAATTTAAATTTAAAAACGTGTTATATAAAAACGGTAATAAACACGACATTTGATAAACAGATGAACATACTGCCTCAGAGTGTTTTCATCCGGATAAGCCGGTAATTTAAGCAAATTTACACATGTACTTGAAGATGGCAATCTTGCACCAGTACCAGCCTTACGTATACTAAACTTTGGGTTCAGTTCTTTAAAACCAAGAAGAGGAGGTCGAGAACAAGATGTAACAAATTTTATTAATTTTTGCTTTTGTTCCTCGGAAAATTCAGATACGACTTTCCAAAAATTGATAATGACGGGATCGTCCTCTTTGTAATCAGCGTACACAGTGTTTTGTCGTAAATCTTCCATATTAATAGGAATGTACGCCCCTCCCACAAGAATTTGTAACTCTTGCTGTTCGAAATAATGGCATAAATAAAAGTTATGATAAAAAAAAAAAACAAGTTTAAAACTGAGCAAACCTGATTAAACATTTTCAACCATTTAGGCTCAATTAAATCTATTAAACCGCGAAAAAATGCCTGGCATTGCAAACCTATTTGAACATTTAACCTGTAATTGACCATTTTATAAATATAGTTAATTCTATTGTCTTTAGTGACTGGAATGTCACTGCCTCCGGGGATTAATTCAATAGTCCGTGATTTTCCAAACTCTGGTAAAAAAAAAAAAAAATTAGTAATAATTAACCTAAAACGAAAGGCAGATTAATTATGATAATCACCATTATCTACTACAGTAAAATTCAATGATAAATCAGACTCTACATCTCCTTTATGATTTTTCAAATAAACCAAGCCTTGATACAATTCTGGATCAACAGATGGTAAATCGTCCACTATCAAATATTAAAATAGAATCAAATAAGTTCACAAGCATTTATATTAAACAAATAATTAAAGGTACGTACAATATGACCGCTCTCCCAACCATTTGTTCAGGAAAAAACCAGCGAAAGCCGCGTCAACCAGAATTCCTTCATATAAAGCTTTTCCCAATATGCGACCAAGGAATTCATAGTAACGTAATTGCGTTTCTGAAACAAAAGACAGTTTAAAATTATTTATATTAAAAAATAATAAAGTTTGGTGTATATTTTTTAATTACCATGACGCGCATAACTATGTGGATTTGGATACAAAAGTTGTTCATTTGTACTAAGGAACAACCCATACTCTGTATTAAAAGCTATCCGCGTCAATCTAATAACGAATTATTAATTCTATCAGTAAAAGTCTGAAAATGTTCAATTGTTACGTAACTCTTAATAATCACTTACGAGGTCAGAAATTCTTTAAATAAACCACCACCGTCTATTCCAGCTTCTTGAATCCCAAATTCGTCAATAAATTGAATAGCAACAGGATTTTTCAATCTGGCACCCATGGCGTTAAGTTGGTCGAATCCATCCTCGAATATTTTACTTCGATGAATGGTCACACGTGTTCGAGGTTCAAATATGGCATGAATATGGCTTGTAAATTAATTAAATTATAAAGAGTCAATAATAACAATAATGATGATATTTTACAATATAGGCAAAATTAAACAGAAAAAAGAATATTGGTAATTAATTACCGCTCACGGTCATTACGAATAAATTGTCTAAAAATTTTAACACGTTCATCAAAAGGTATCACAAAAGGAATATTGTGAAGGACTCCAAGGCGCGGACTAACGGATTCCTGTCGCTTGTCCATAATTACTTTATCATTTTCTCTTTCAAGATCTTGCTCTTCGGCGACAACATTTTTGGCAAAAGTGCTCATATCAAATTCAGATGTCATTAGCCAGTGACGTTCTGGTGTGAATCGCCGACGAGAACTAAATCCATAGAAAATATTGTTATCAAAGTAATTTGAAAAAAAATGAACGTCGAGAAGTAACATACTCTCTTGCATGGATCTGTTTTAACAACTTTGTGGCAACTTCTCGAAGATAAATGGGTTTAATGCAACTACCTTCGATAACGTTGTTTATTTTTAATTGGGGACTGTTCCAATATAAAATAAAAGCTATATTCTATAAACGAAATATGAAATTTTGGTTTTAATTATTAAAATTACTGTAAATTTTTTCATGACTACTCATTTACCTTTAAATAGGTAGACATTTCGATGATCTCCGGTAACTTTAGAGGACTTTTGTTTCCATCAAAGAATTCGTAATCGTCCATAGGAAGTAAAATTCGACTAAATAACTCGCAAAGCAGGTAAAACATTCCCCACTGTTCAACAAATACGGTATCTAATTGAACAAAAATTTTGGGGTAATATATTTTAAAAATTTTCAAACTACGTAGAATGAGATATATAATCACAGCAGTGATCCAAATATACCTGTAATGAAACTATTTGATAGAGGTTGACTATTTAACAACAGTCGCGCAAGATCTGTACTTTTGAACACTTCAAATAATAAATTAATTGATAATTTATTCTCTGATATGGAGAGCTTCCCGTACGCCATTTTACTTAACAAGCCAGATTTCTCTGAAGGCCAGCGAATCATCAAAGTTGTTAAAAAGTATGAAATTTTGAGTAAAGCCATCACATCTCTAGATTTCGCAAACGCCAACAAAGATTCCAAATGTTGTTCGTCGATTAATACGGAAATCGATTTTAAAACGCTCGGATCAATTTGTGGTTCTTCGGACAATCTCAGATGATTTTGGATTATTATATCATTATTATCGATATCATCATCATCGTCATCATGATTTGCTAGAGATCAAAAAAACAAAAAAGTAGAAATGCCATTATTAAATATCATGTAAATGGTTTTAAATTATATAAAATTAAATCTGTTAGATACTTGATGTCGTCTTGTCTGCAAGTAGTTGGTCCGGTATTAGCAAAAATAGACGTTGAAGGACCGTCAAATAGTTGAGCTACAATAATATAAATTAAATTGATTTGAATAAATAATAATATACATTGCCTTGCAAAGAGTATTAGGTAAGGTGTTTGGGTGTTTATTTCATGATTATATTAAAATTTTGAAGTTTGCTATTTATGACCACCGGTAATCATCACCTTTGTGTAGTAGCCAATAAATTTGCAGGATTAGATGCAGCATGAGGATCACTCGTGTAACGAAAATACACCGGTGATGATTACCACCGGTAATAAATAGCAATTCTCTAAAATTCTATACTTTCTGCAGGGTAACATAACTAAGGATAATCATAGATATATTATATTACATACCAATGCTGAATCGTTCATTTTATTAACCTCGAGACGCGTAAAGCCCAACAAATTACTCAACAAGATACTTCCTTGTTCAGCATTCCAATCATTTTGGGCAATTGCCGATATGATATCGTACAATGGCATTCGTGAAGAAAGAAGTTCCAAAGCTTCAATGCGGTCCGCTAATAGCGGTATGGTAAAAATATATGTGATGAAATCTTTAAGAGAAGATTCGTATGCAAAAGCATCATAAGGATCAGAAGTAGGTATGATTTGGAATGGGTAAAGAGAGAGATTTACGATCAGTATGATCATCTGTTTATTTTTATCTTTGTTTTCGATTGCCTATTTTTTTTTCAATAAGTTAGTAAGCAACAACGATGTGATTTTGTTATCCACTAAAGATTTTGATTATTATTAAATGGTACAACAAAGCATATTTCCTTACCAAACTTATAAACTGGTTTCTTAATTCAAGATATAAATCATGACTGACAAGGTATTTTAGGAGTTCCAATGATATTCTTCTATAATATATGTGTATTGTAAGTTGATGATTATGTTTAAAAACTCAGATATCTCAAAAGAGAGGAAAAAAAAAAAAGAGAAATAAACTATATACCCTATACGGACCTGCCACCTTCTTCTAATTGTCTATACTTATTGACATCTACGGCCAAAAGTAAAATATTTAAATAATCAACTATATCGGTATCGCGATATCTACAGTAAATAGAAAGCATAAATAATCTGCATGATCATCAAAAATAGTTTACACTAGAAAGGTCGCGTTTATGATTAATTACATATATTGTGATCCGACACTTTTGAGAAATATAAGTAGAAGTTTTTTCAATTGATGAAACCAAGTATGGCGTAAATCTTCGTAATAAAATGGTACAAATATTGTTTCGACATCTAGAAATAAATTTAAAGCGTTATAAATGGATAATATTTACAGAAACACATTTTTTTATGCGATAGGAAGAGTAAACTTATGCACCAAACATCTGCATCCGCAAAATCTGACACAAACATAGTTCCCGTTGGATATCGTGGTTCGGACGATAAAAAAAGAGAAAATTGCGCACAAGATCAACCAGAGAAGTCGCGGCATTTACATCCCACTTATTATGAGCAGCACGAAAAATAGATTCAGCTTTTTGATCCCATACTGCACGCTCTTTATTGCGCAAATTTCCAGCTACGTTTCTTCCGCGATAAAATGCCTAAGATAGATCATGTTGAGATTCATCACAAAGCGACTAAATAAGTTTAAAACAGGATCGAAAATTACCTGTATTTTTACAGCTGATTTCTGACGCAAACGCTCATTATCTCGTTCACGACGTTGTTCCTTATTCTTTTTTATAAGAGTTGACTTATCCTCTTGCACTCTCTGGCCTCCAAGATTTATCTTTGGACGTGTTTTAAAATTGCCTTCAAAAGAATTGAACATTGCACTAGAATGACACAATAGAAGTTTTGAATTTTATGAGCTAGTGATTAAATTTTCGTTTTTTTTATCACGGGCTATATCGATCGGTGCTGTACGTACATGACACAGCATGGAAGTTTTTTAAATTTCTACATACCTATCCTACTTACGTACTTATTGTGTGCCAATAAAGTATCTTAATTTAGAATTTCATAACAGGGAATTTCGGGTCGGATATCTCGGGAATAATGATCAGCAAGGCTGGAATTAACTATTTTGCCCAAGAACACTAAAAGTTATACTAATGAAGTCATGGCCTACTTATTAAGTAAAGCTGACCAGCTAATAATTTTGGTTGACTTGTATTTAGTCATGGGCATGCCAGAATGGCATGCCTATGTGGTATGCCCAATATTCAAATTGCCTATAGGCATGTTATTTATAATAGAAATTCACGTCCTTATAGGAAACTTATATAAGGACGTGTCTAATATTATATTTTATAAATTTTAAAATAATATAATAAAAATTATATAAATAAGCAACTCTAATTACCTTTATTAAATTATAATTTTTACAATGTTACAATCATTACCAAATATAAAAAATTTATATGTTATATTATTTGATGAAAAAAAATGAATCGATTATTTATTTAAAAACAATATTATTAACAAAATGACAAATTGTACTTATTGTAATTCTGAGTTATATTTTAATAACAGAATATATCAACAAAAAATTTATATTTGTAAAAATTTTGAATGTCATAAAACTTTTTCAATTTACAAAAATACAATTTTTTTAATAATCATTTAAATTGTAGCAATACTTTATTAATTATTTGTGATTATGTAAAGTAAAATATATACAAATAAGTTTAATTACTAAGTTTTCATCAAATACAATTGTTAAATTTACTAAATTATTTCATGAATTAGTAATTAATATAATAACTGCTAAAGGAGGTATAGCAACTTAGTGAAATGGATAGATTATCAATCCTCAAGTGACAGATCTAGAGTTTAAATCCTAGTAATAATAAAAATTTGTAATTCTTTCTGTGTTATGGTTAACTGTCTTCTGTGATTAGTTGTAATAAAATACCTGTAACCCATATCATACCAACATAACTAAAAGGTCTAGGTACTCATACAATGTTATACAAGAGAACATAAATTGGTATCAGGTAGTGTAAACCCAAGATAAATCCTTAGATTATATAAATTACAGAAACCAGATAGAAAGATGGAAGCCTACTTAGAAGACCTAAATAAAGAGGTACCTGAATCTTTAATGGTGCTACTATAAAGATTAGACTTATAAAACAGAGTTAGAACTTGTGAAACTAGACAAATGTATCAGTCTTTGAGAAAGGATCAGATGAACCAACCAAGCTACTAGAATTTTCAGATTTTAGAGAAAAAGAGTACATGTTGGCAAACATGTAAATCAGAAGTATGGTCTCACTTTATTTTTCTGAGCTATCTGGAATGACAGCTTGGTGAAACTTGAATGAAATACCAAAGTAGTAAGGATATATTGTGAAGTCAGTACTAAGATTGAGATGAACTCTACAAGGGCATAATAATTTAATGATATACTCTGACTGCCAGTGTTAGTTTTGACATAGCAATACTAAATCAGTTGTAAGAATGGAATACAAAAGATTCTGAAAGGTTTAGTATAAGGTTAAAAATTTCTCATATAAGTAAACTACTTTAAAAACTTAGTAACTATAATAAATTTTTACTAGCATCAGTCAGGGTTGTTAATAAGCTAAGGTAGGTGAATGGATACAGAAACAGAGTAGTTAAATAGGGAATCTACAAGTAGGTTTCAGATATGGCAGCTAGTGTAGAACCTTCAGACAGACTACTTAAATTAAACAATGACTAAAGTTATATGAGTAACTAGTTGTATACTCTCTTCATAGTTGCCTCCTATAGTTGTAATACAACTATTAGCCAAATATACTATCAATAAAATCCTAAATCACAAGTACTCATCTTAATATTTAAAAAAAAAAACAACAATAACTACAAAAGACTTATATATAGAAGGTAAAAAAGTTATTGTTAAAATTGATGAATCAAAATTTAGACAATTTGAATTATGATGAATTGTATGAGAAATTAAAAGAACTAAAAAAAAAAATATTTTTTTGTTGTTACAGAAGATAGAAATAAAGAAACACTACAACAAATTATTAAACAACATATTAAAAAAAGTTCAACTATATATACAGATTCATAGCATGATTACCAAAATCTTGAGGCATTTGGATATAAACATATTCAAATTAATTATTCAAGAACTAATTAACAATAATGAATAAAAAAAATTCATACAAATACAATCAAAACAACTTGGTGTGCATTGAAAAGATATATATCAAAAGACAAAAGACAAAAAGAAATAATTAATAATTATCTTCTTGAATATGTTTTTAGAAACAAATATAAAAAAAATTTGTATTAGATTTTATTAAATTGTAAAATTTTAAAAAATATATTTTATTTAATTAAATAATACTAGCTAAATATTTTTATATTTTAATTTGCTAAATATATTTTTGTATTCTTCTATTTGTAATAATTTAAAAATTTTTAAACTTAGTTCAAATTCAAAAAAAAATATTTAATAAAAAAATTTTAATTAAATATTCTTTTAAAATATAAAAAAAGTAATTCAAGATGATCTAAAAGATGATATTCATTGTAAAGCAGAAATTTATTTTATAACAAATAATAGTAGAATTACAAGATTAGCATATAAATATTATAGGCATAAGTATATTTTTATTTTAGAAGTTTTTTAAACAACTGATAATATAATTATTTTAAATAACCAAAATTTAATTAAGATTTTAATTTTTTATTAATATGTTAAATTTTATTTTTAATTTTTTTAAATCAAATTAAAAAAATATTTAATACATTATAAAAATAATAAACACATTTGTTCATTGTTCTAATAAATCCAAAAGTCATCTTTCTTTTTTGGTAAATTTTGAGAGCATAAAAAAAATCAAGAGAGATATATATATGAATAGAAATAGAGATAAAGATAAAGATAGAAATAGAGATAGAGATAGAGATAATAAAATTATTAATATAAAATTGTTAATATAAAAAATTGCTAATATAAATTTATCTAAAATGTATATAAATAAAATATAAAAAAAATTTTAAAGAGGATGGTGATCCTAGTGTAGTGGTTGGGTTGTCATCCTCCAAGTAGCAGGTCTAAGGTTCAAATCCCACCT